CAGGGGAGGGGCAGAGAGAGAGGGAGACAAAGAATCTAAAGCAGGCTCTAGGCTCTGAGCTGTCCGCACAGAGCCTGATGCGGGGCTTGAACCCACAAACCGTGAATGAGATCATGACCTAAACTGAAGCCAGACGCTCAAACGACTGAGCCACCTAGGTGCTCCATGATATATTTTTCAGTGGCTGTGTGGCAAGAGAGAAATTATTCCTGCCCCCTGTCATCAGAACCTATTATGATTCTAAGGAATTGTACTTACAAATTCAAGTCATAATTTATTTTATGAAATATTGTACTTTACCACTTATTACCCTGTGCCAGATCTTTCCATCCCCGTTTCTGTGAGATACTGGCAACAGAAGAACATAGTTTAACATTATCAAGTTATAGATTACCTTCCAGCAAACTAGTTTCTCTGAAAAACCAGTTCAGGAGCTGCCATTCCTGATTTTATGTGAACACTTTTGAAGCAATTTTTGTTTTCAACACGTGTTGATTTTGAGGTCAACATTACCCATTTTCATAAGCTTCTTTGTATTAGTAGTACTTTTTGGGGGGCACTTGGCTGGCTCAGTCCCTGGAGTTTACAACTCTTGATCTCGGGGTTGTGAGTTTGAGCCCCGTGTTGGGCGTAGAGATTTCTTAAATACACAAAATCTAAAAAACAAACAAACAAAACAAAACAAAACCCAAAACTTTCTCTTCCTCCCAAACTTTCAGCAGTTTTCAGGAATGAATGGATAGATAGATAGATAGATACATAGATAGATGTAATTTTATACAAATGGAAGAAGTGTTTTTCTGTGCAGTCCTCATTATTCCTCATTGTAACTCCTTGTGCTTGACCTTTAGGAACAGAACACCATATTAGGAAATAGTATTTAATGACACAGTTGATATCTCAATGCCCATCAATCCCTTAAGTATCATCCTTGTTATTTTCCATTAAACAGTTCCTTATATTTGCTCAAAGCTCATCTGTTCCTTATTTTTGGGGGGGGGGGGGGGGGGGTTAGGAGAGGAGGTGAATCTCATACAAATTTAGGAGATCATCCTGAACTCAGTCCTCATGGCTTATTATGTAAATTTAATAATGTGCCCCATAAAACTACATGGTACAAATATATGACGAGGTAATCCCACAGAAGAAAGGCAAAGGGAGAGGAAAGAAAAATACCAGAGATAGAGACCAAAAATGCAGGACCCCTGGCTTAGGAAAAAACCAGAACCTTGCTGAAAGTGATCGGACAAATTGAAAGGACAAAAAAAAAAAAAAAAAAAAAAAAAAAAAAGCCTTTATCAACTATTTAAAAAAGAAATTGAGGGTTTGAGGTGAAGTGAAGCTTATTTTGTCAACAGGAAGTTACGGTTCTGCACCTCTATTTATATAAACAGCATTTGCTTTTTCCATCTTAGGTTCTGCCCAGAAGTTGTCGTCTGACTGCTGCTTCTGGCTCTGCTTGACTGGTTTTTAGAAAGAAAAAAAAAAAGAAAAAGAAAGAAAAAAACTGTAGCCACACGTTCCTTTCTCTACCGCAGAGAACCTCAACAAGTCACTTTCCCTGATGTTTGGTTAGTGAAAATGCTAAATGATACAGGATTGTGATTTTGATTGGAGTTCTGTATTTTTAACCAAATCTTTGCCTCCAGGAGGGGACAAATCCGTAAGGACAGTCCTGCCTCCCTTCCACTGTGCCCCTGATGTCTTTCCATTCTACCCTGTGAAAGTTCCAGGTCTCTCAGAACCTCTTCGCTGAACTCCCTTTTCCCATCAGATCTGTGAATTCCTGTCTTCAAGCATCGTGGTCCCCTGTCTTGATGTCAACCTGTCATTACTCTCCCATCCTCTGACTCCCCTTGTCTGATGCTTTTCTATCTTCTTTTCTGTTTCTTCTCAGAATTCTTTCTTACGGTTGCTTCGGTACAGAAGGAAGGAGAACCTTAGAGGTTGCAAGTTGTTTGCGCCTCGGACCGGGTGTAACATATCTGGTTACACACAAACACCCCGAAGCAGAGGAGGGAGGAGCTTGTGGCTAGCAACATATACGACTTGATGTCATCAAAAGTAAGGCTCAGAAGTGGGGAGACCAGCTGGGGTTCGCACCATCTGCCTGTGAGTCAAAAGAATACTCAGAGAAAGTGTGCATGGAACTATATTTAGAGTACAGTGCACACTTGAATTTTTCCCATTCAAGGAGAAGAGAATTTTCATAAGCATGTTTTATAGAAAAAGTTAGGCTCAGAGCCAGATCAACTCAATCTGGGCAGAGAAAACAAGAGTAGACTTCATGGATAGGCAGATGACACTGCCATCTTTCAAGGTGCCAGGAAGGCATACAATCTCAAAAATTGCCTGGAGATACTTTCACAAAATCCTTTAGTTCCGACATTAAAGTTGCACTGTTTTGTTTCAAAGAATCATTTTTAGTCTAACTATAAGTTCCTGGCTATAAAATATGGTCATTTGTGCTCACCAGGAAAGGGATAATATTAATGCCTAAAAGAGAACAAGGCTTGCAAATCCTTTCATGGAAGTGACCAGAGACGAAAACTAGAGCATCAGGAGCCTGAAATGGGGGCAAGGGTGAAAAACAACAAAAAGGAGGTGAATGAAATTCTGCCGGGGGCAAGGGTACACGGGGAAAGAACAGGACCAAAACAACATCCTGAAACTGACCTGGGACTGTCCTTAGGGGGAAGTTGTGGAGGAAAGACAGAATGGGAAGCAAGTTAGAAATGTTGGTGGCACCTGGGTGGCTCAGTCAGTTAGGCGTCTGACATCGGCTTAGGTGGTGATCTCGAGGTTCGTGGGTTTGAGCCCTGCATCGGACTCTGTGCTGACAGCTCAGAGCCCGGAGCCTGGTTCAGATTCTGTGTCTCCCTCTCTCTGTCCCCCCCCCCACCCCATTCACACTCTGTCTCTGTCTCTCAAAAATAAACATTACAGAAAAAAAGAAGTGTTGGTTTATATGTCAAGAGTGAAAAAAAAAAAAGGTCAATCACATAAGAACAATGAGAAATGGAAAACACTGGCACATGATCAAGCAAAAGAGAAGGGAGTGAAGCATGAAGCTTTACGTAGCAAGACTGTTGGTAGGTAAAGATTGTCACACGGAGCAGGAAAGAAAAGGAACTTTCTGGTGAATTGAGTTTTCTGGAGGAGAGTAAATTGGAGTGTTGGGAGAACCAATGGCAAAATTGTAGGCAGGGTGCAGTAGGGAATAGTGGAGAGCGATACTGGCACTCCCTTTTCCCAAGGGGGATGAAAACATCAGTTGGGGTCTTTCTAAACATAGAAGAGAAAAAGAAACAGATCAGAGACCGCTCTTTTCTGAGGAGGAAATTAGAAACATTTATTTTAGAGTGTTTAATTTGCAATATACACAATCCTGGGATTGAGGTGCTCCGTTGGAGGGTCACGTTCGTGGAGAGATTCTTAAACGATTCTTGGAAACTCTGCCTGTGAGTTTTCTCTACAGTGGTTACAATATGCATTCAACGTGTCTGTCTATATATGAGCAAATTTACTTTTAGAGGCTGCGGAGGAGAGATTACATGCTTTGGTCTTTTCCTAGCATTTCTCTTCAATCAGCTGAGCAAATCCCACTAGGCTAAATTGTTTCTCAGCCTCCAGAGTTTGATCCTCATTTACAGTTTTCTTACAATATGAAAAGGATCCAACACTACCAAGTGGAATTCTGTGGTGTATAACTTGCCTCAAATTCCTCTATTTCCTACTTGAACTTCATTGGCCTTTGTGGAAAGTTGCTAAGTTCTTCAGGAAGAAGGAGCTACAATCTGTAATTGGTCACTTACAATGGGATTTTTCTCTGTTACGTTGTGGACTGCTTCCTAATATAGGATATCTCTCCCCTCATAAAGCAGACATGGTGGTTGTGAATCAGATCGCATCTAGGCTTCCAGAAATATGAATAATGCATTTAAATCTTAAATCACAGAATTAAAAAACCTTAGAACTCACATAAACTTAACCTTGTCGTGGTAAAGATGGGGACTTTTACCAGGGCCTACTGTGGCAGCATGTCTTAAGAATGCAGGTTGTCTGAATATTATTTCTTTTATTCTGTCTTATAAACCACTAGGTGAACTTTGTCTGCCCATTAAAGATGAGGTCTGAATGTCCTTCTCAAGGCCCCAATCAGGCTTTTCCAGAATCCATTTGCACAATAATCTCTACAGATTTCGTTTAGTAATGGGGTGAAAGGAATAGCCAAGGAAATTCACACCAACATTAAGTTGTCTAATTAATTTGGGAAGGTGGGCTAGCCCCTACCCCACACGACCATAAATGAGTAAGTAAATAGGACTTTTTAGCCCTACTTGCCTGTTTGGGACAACCGCGTGAAAAACTGAATAGGGAACCATGAGTCCAAGTTCCATACTTGGCCTACTCCTCTTTAGCCTCAGCCTTAGCAGATCTCACCTTGGGTCCTTCGATATTGCTGGTAGGATTGTCTAACTCTTGGCCTCAAAAATCTCTGGGACTACGCACATTACCATGACTCTTCCGGAAGACCCGCCAGGCAAATCCGGCAAAATAGTTAGCATAAGAGTAAAGAGGAACTTGTAAATGGGGAGTTCATCTAGGACATGCTTGAAAATCAAAGAAATGAAGGCCTGTGGCCAAACTAGTGACAGCTTCTTCCACCCTAAGATCTATTTCAGAACAGATTCAAATTGTAAATATTAACCTCACGTTTTATTTTCCTTTGAAACCGTATGTAGACTGTTTGTACATAAGCCACTTGGTTATCATTGATCTACTATGTCTACGGTAGTGAGAAGCGGCAAAACCATGCTATAATATAGACTTTGTTACCGGTCTGGGTAATAAATCAGGGAGTGGGGGGTCAAAGCTAGACACTACAAAGGGATTGGTTTAAGAACTACTAATGTCTATGGGTTAGCTGACAATGGTTGCTCATGTTAGACCATTCTCTTCCTCCCACCCACATGTTCTTCCTTCCTCTTCCTTGATCATCACAGACCACTGGGTCTCTGCACGTTCACATTTTCACAGGGAGGAAGTCGGAAGTAGTTGGAGCGGCGGAGTCGCCTTGGGGGTAAACCAGCCATCTGACGGCAAAGTTCATCTAGAAGAGAAGCAGAGAATAATGCCTAAAGGGCTGGCGTTTTGGGAGAAAGAGAAGACCCGGGGCTTCTGAGTGGCTCAGTTGGTTGGGTGTCCGACCCTCGATTTCAGCTCAGGCCGTGATCTCACGGTTCATGAGTTCGAGCCCTGCCTTGCCCTCTGCGCTCACAGCCCGGAGCCTACTAGGGATTCTCTCTCTCTCTCTCTCTCTCTGCCCCTTCCCTATACATTCTCTCTCTCTTTCTCTCTAAGTAAATAAACTTTTGAAAAAAGAGAGAAAGAGAAGACAGCAGTGTGCTGTCGTGAAAGGTTGAAGAGAAACAGATCTGGATTAGAACCCCCGATCTGCAGCTCACTGGTTATTTATTGCTTACTAGAAAGTTACTTAACTTTTCTGAACCTCACTATCCCTTGCAGTAAAAGAAGCATGAAATACCTGCCTCAACAGTGTAGTTGTATTAAAACAAAATAATGTATGCTAAGTACCTAGCACAGGTGGCTGGCCGGTGAATTTTAGGCTGCTCTACACGCCTAGCTCCCGATTCTCCTAATCATGGGCTTATTAAATAGCAAAAAAGTGACATTCAATTATTCACTATCTATCTAAGTGTTTACTGTGTGCAAATGGCTAACTTTAGTAAGTCCCCTGAGACACTTGAAAGTGCCCAAGTCCCAAATACTCATCCTCAGTCTCAAGGTGCTTCCCTTGCAGGTGGCTTGCACAAGGCCAATGGGGGCAAATAACAAGTTTCCTTCTGCGAAGTTAACTACAGCTCTTACTCAGCAGCTCCGTGCAAGACGGGCTGTTGAGTCAGAAGGGGCTGTGTCTGTGGTGCCTTCACCAACCACACTTATCGTTTGGGGCCGGCCAGGGAGAAGGTGAGAGGTATCTTTGTTCCCACAATGCACCGTGTATAACCACACACGTTGGACCCTTTTAATTGTTTTTATCAGGTTTTTCTACCTTCCTCTACCCCTGAATTTTTGCATTAAGTAATGTAAGTAGTTCCTGGAATTGATAAACTGTTTCAAATGTAGCCAGCTTCTAAATGTCCTGTTTTGTATTTACTGATAGGCCCTGTCCAAACATCAATTGTCTCCAAATAGTGGAGTTTTGGTTTTTTTTTTTTTCCTTTAGAGAGGTTTTTTTTTTTTTTTTCATTTGTGAACATGGCTGCCGGTAGTAGAGTCTATTATTTGTGATGGCTGACTTGGCCTTTTTTTTAAGTTTTTATTTATTGATTTTTAGGCATCTCTACACCCAACGTGGGGCTTGAATTCCCAGACTGAGTCAGCCAGGTGCCCCCGATTCGGCCTTTTCACCTAGAACTCCAGTGAATGATCTCCAAAACAGTTCCAGCTTCAGAAAGCTCTCTCTATGGGAGAGGTTGGGAGTTACAATCTTGCTGAAAAGAGATCCAAGATATTTTCCTTAGGGTTATCTTTATATACGAAGCACACTGCTTTACCTTGATTGCTTATCTAGCACAACTTGGGGCAGGCACTGATGGAAGTTCAGGGGGTGACCTAAAGCCCTCCTCCGAAGCCAGACCTTGGATCCATCAGGATCACGTCTCTGTTTACCTCTCGCATCATTGCCCCTCCCCACTAAAAAACTAGATATCATCTTACCTTTCATTACTTCATGTTCTTTACAGACAAGACGAGAGCAGATCTCATTGTTGATGATGTACATACGTCGTAAACTGCCAGAGTCCCAGTAACATGGTTAAGGAAAGAGATAGCAAAAACCATCGGGAGGGAGAACTCTAGTCTGTATATAGGCCAGGGGTGCCTCGTCAGCTCCTATACTCCCCACTCTCCCCTGTCTGTTTTCTTCCTCTCTCGATTTCTTTCCTTAAGTATTTTGGGCTGATTTTTCCCTCCCAGAGGAGGGAATGGGACGGAATGGTATTAATTGCTCTTAGTGCCACTTTGCACACTCCTCCTGGAGTCAAGCCTAATACTGCTCTTCACTATTTCTGACATTGAGAGCTGGATCCTTTGCTTCAGCCTTTTTCTATGGGGTCATAGATTCACTGTACCAGTATTTCTCTCATGACTGTCCTTTCTCCAGCCCTCACTTCCCTTGCCTTCTAACATCTAGTCTTAGTAGTCAGTCTGTTTTCCGCGTAACCCAAGTCCGACTCCGGGTTCTATCTGGCACCGCCCTAAGAGGGTCACGTTCAAAATTTCTCTGCCACTAAAGACTGAAGTTCCACAGTGGGTGCTCATTGCATAGTTACTGACATGAAACCACTACCAGGGAAGGCGATTTCTGCACATCCTGGGATCCCTTACCTAGTGAAACATAACTGGTGAATGCATTGCTTGACTGGCCGATGCACCGAGTAGAGTCTCGTGCAAGCAAATTTTTCATCCCGGCAATCTGGAGAAGTCCAATACAGAAAAACGGGGAGAGGCATGAACAAAGGGTTAAAGACATGGAGGAAGGTACAGAGAGCGGGGGGGGGGGGGGGGGGGGAATACAAAGTAGTCTCTACACAGGATCATTGTAATGTGGGGAATGCCCTTCCTGTTCAACAAAGCAGAACAGTAGGAAACTGGCTGAAATAAAATTTAGGTGCTTTCCTACCTGGACCCAGAAGTAGCTAAAATAATCTCTGAGAGTTCTTCTAGGAAAGTCTTTCTAGGGTTATCCAGGCGGCAGTGTGAAATACCAAACCGAAATGAAATGCTGCTGACTCCATTCTCGAGAATAAGAACTCTTAGGTGGGTCACAGTTTCTGTTGCAGTAGTTTTCAGTCCTAGCTGCCCATCAGAATCATCAGTACATTACAGAAAGCAACTTTGCCCGTGACACCTACAGTCCTCTTGTCCTTGCAGTCAGTTCCCCACACACTAACCACCACAGAAAGTCCAAAGGTAGCTCAGGAAGAGGACTGCTTTGGGATCATCCAACAGTGGTCCCATCTTTTCTTCATGACCTCGAGGACAGGAGCTCATAAAGGAGAGCAGGAATGAAGGGCATTAAAAATACTCTCTGAGAAAGAATGGAAAGCAAACTAGAAGGTACATCAAGTACCCGCCAAAGAACAAGGAGATAAGGAATCCCCAAGAAGAAAGCTGAAGAGAAAGACATGCAAAAGGCAATCATACCTGCTGTGGTATTTTTATCATTGGCCGGAGCTGGAAGGCAGAAATTTCATTCAGTTATCATGAGTTCTAGAACTTACTACCTCTGTAACCTAGAATATCCTTTTCCCTTTGTAACCTTGGGGCCTCACTTGGGGCCCATATGGGGCACCCATTAATAAAAAAGTGAGGCACCCATGTTGCCTCACTTGGGGCCCATATGGGGCACCCATGAATAAAAAATGGGTTGATAATGCTTTTAGCAACTTCTAAAAGAAAGCCCATAATGGACTGCTTTGATCCACAAAACTGAACAGATTTAGAAGTTAGGATGGGAAATCTGATCTTGCCTCTGTCCTCTCTCTTCTAGAATCGAAAAATTGATGGCATTTTGAGTAGCTTTGTGTTGTTGCTGAGAAGCAAATTTAGTATGGACAAAAGCCATATGCCCAGAAGAGCTGCATCCTAGAGTGAAGGAGAGAAGAGATTGTTATCCTGTAGAAGCTCTTGCTCATCAAGGAAAATTTCTTCTCTGTAAATCAGATACATCGTCATGGGTTCTTAGATGAAAGTGTTATTCAGCAAAGAATAGTAAAAGTCACAGCCATAGCCAAACCCAACCTAGGGTCAAGTTAAACACGGGCTTAACTTGTAGAATGAATAATAAGTCAAGGAGGGAATCGTCTTGAAGGAATTCACTAACCATAGGAGTGATGTGTACAAATGCCATTGGAAGAGTTGTTTATAGTCAGGATACTATAGGAATATGCTGGGTGGTCTTATCTACCCCCTAGTTGCAATTGCGGGCTTCTCGGCTGAGAATTCTCCAGCTTCTGCTTCTAGCCCAGATCTCTTCTAAGCTCCAGACCTGTAAATCCATCTGCCACTTTAGGGAAGAGTTTGTGGGTATTTCAAAGATCCCCCAAATCCAGTACATCTTAAACTGTCTTATCTTTGAACCAATTCAAATTGTTCTTCAGCGAATGGTACCACCAGCTACCCAACAGAAAACTGGACATCATCTCCACAGTCCCCTCTCACTTACAGTTCACACTTAATTCTCACTACCTCTTCCTCAGTTCAGGCGATCATCTTTTTACTGGGACTATTGCCATAGCATCTTGACTGGGTTTCTAATTCATAAATCTGATTAGAACCTTCCCTTGTATAAACTATTCTCTGATTGGTTTTTATTTCTATCCTAAGCCTTTGCGCATACTGTTCTCTTTACCCCAAGGCTCTTCTCCCTATTTACTGGATTCACTTCTACTTGTCTTTCAAGAACCAACTTAGTCATTGTGCCCTCCATGGAAGCCTTTCCTAACCGGGGGGACTCTTTTGTCGCATCTTGCATAGCTTCTTTTGCTTATCCTGATTATGGCATTTTGTGAAACCGAATGAAGTTAAAGTTAGCCATTTGTTGGGGCGCCTGGGTGGCTCAGTTGGTTAAGTGGCCAACTTCGGCTCAGGTCACGATCTCGCGGCCGGTAAGTTCGAGCCCCGCGTCGGGCTCTGGGCTGACGGCTCAGAGCCTGGAGCCTGTTTCCGATTCTGTGTCTCCCTCTCTCTCTGCCCCTCCCCCGTTCATGCTCTGTCTCTGTCTCAAAAATAAATAAATGTTAAAAACAAGAAAAATTAAAAAAAAAAAAAAGCCATTTGTTTATCTTGTGTATTAGACAAAAAATATCTTGTAGGAGGATATCAGTGTCGTTCACCTTTGTGTTCCCGGTTTATATTCCTATAAACCTAGTAGCAGGTTCTCAGTAACCATTTCTTTAAGGTAATCTAGTTTCTGTCTCCTTTTCTTACATCCTACCACTTATTCCTTGTAGATTTTTGCCCTGATTATTCAAAAAGCTGTTTCTCCAATGTGCCAAGCCTTATTTTGCATTCACACCTTTGTGCATACTGTCCCTTCCTTGACTGCCTGGCTGGCTCCGATTCTTTCAAGAATCAGTTCAACCATTACTTCTAGAAAGTTTCCTTTTATCTTCCCAAGCAGTGAGTTGTGTATATATTTATCTTGCCTTCACCCATCCAGTCTTGGAAACTTTGAGGGGAATATGGCACTTCGGTGTTTCGTACGTCAGACGCCTAGGATAGTCCCTCCCTGGACCTACTAGGGGATCAAAAATATCACTAATTCAAACTGAACTGTTGGAAGAATTTTCACAAACTGTAGTGGTAGCTATTTAGGAACCTTAACCAGCGGAACCGCCTTCCGTAATGGGCTCTGGGGAAAGCCCAGAAAGGCCCCAGTGGCCCTGGGATCCCAGCTCTGAACTCACCCAGGTCATCTGTGGAAGGCTCGATATCGGCCAGAACTGAAAAGGCACAAAACAGCAGGTGTGAGGAGGGCTTTGAATTGGCAAGGGGGAAGTCAGAGTGGAAAAATGGACGTTATCACGGCAAAGTCAAGGCTACGGCTGGGTTTGTGTATTCTATCCAAGGGAATAGAGTTAACTGAAGTAATGGGGAATATTTTTTCGGAGCGTATGTGTCCTACTGGCAGTATCCTTTATTGCACGTGCCTCATGTTAGCTATTAATCCACCTTGTTTCATCTTTTTCAGAAAACGAGTGGGACTCTTTCCTTTTATCCCACTTGTCACTGAACAAAACACCCACAATCCCTCTATCCCTTTCTCAGGGATAAGAATACAGGATTAATTCAAACGCTGGAATAAACGTTGTGAACATTAACAAGAATCATGCCGTTTTAAAAGATCTGTAGTACAACTCACCTGTTTCGTCTGTAGAGGGCTCATTCACCAGGTCTGCAAACATATAACACAAAGAATAAAAAATGCAGGAAGCAAAAGTGGCAAAGAGGGAAGGGGAAGGAGGGTAGAGGGACGATCTTAAAGGAGGCAAGAAACATCGCAGTGAAAGAGTGTGACCTCTTGGGCCAAGGTGAGGGACTCTCAGAGAAGGAAATGGGAGAGAAAAGATCGGACAGGTTCACAGCATCAGTGGTAGGCCTCTAGCCCCAGGGTGAAAGCACAGAAATAAAAAGGTAGCTTACTAGGATCTTCTGTGAATGCTTCTGGAGTCACTGGAGTCACATCATCTGAGAAAAAAAAAAAAATCAGAAAACATTTTTTTGCAATTTATTTATTTTGAGAGAGAGAGACAGACCGAGAGCATGAGCGGGGTAGGGACAGAGAGGGAGAGAGAGAATCCCAAGCAAGATCTGTGCTGCCAGGGCAGAGCCCGAGGGAGGGCTCGAACTCACGATCTGCCAGATTATGGCCCGAGCCGAAATCAAGAGTCGGATGCTTGACTGACCAAGCCACCAGGGTGCCCCCCCAGAAAATATTTTTTGGGCGCTCTCCATCCCCCTCCCCTTCTTGCACTCCCAGGAAGTGAAACTGTCCAGCACGGCTGCCCACACGTAGCGGGTATCCCACAGTTGATTTTCTTTGTTTGCTTCCCAAACCAAGTCCTTTCCCTGCAACCCAAACAAATGTCACGCTTTGCCACTTCCCTGAATATACCCACACAGTCCTAGCCCAGAATATCCTTTTCCCTTTGTGTGCCTTCCCCTCTGTGCCCGTCAGACAATCCTCCACTGGCACCCCCTTCCTTCATGATACGTGGGTTAAGCATAGGAAGAGAAGAATCACATCATTTCGTTGTCCTACCGGATAATAAGCATACTGCTAGCTTGGGTTTCCTATGTGCCAAGCACCATTGAAATCTGTTTTTACAGATGATAAAATTGAGCGCCAGACAAAAAATTTACCCAAGGTCCTACAGCTTGTTATAAGTACCATGGATTGATGGCCTCTTGGCGATGCTTTCGTTACATGAAAATTGTCTTTACCAAAGACATTGAGTATGATAATTATAATTTTGACATAATTGGCTATCCGTTTGCTGAAACGCTTACATATAAGCGTGTTCCCAAAGGGTGATGTGGATGATTTTCTGATGCTCAGTGAGAAGTGAGGTGAAGGGGGGGGGGAGGGGAAATGCCAATGATAGTAGAGAATGACCTTGCAGTTGAACATTGAAAGGTGAAGGCAGGAGAAGACATAATAATAAGCGGTCCCAGCCTTAAGGTGGAATCTATTAGGATAAACAAGCAAACCGTATCAAAACTACAAATAACAGCACTATCCAAAACCAGCTGTCTCTCTCTGCTTTAAAACACAGGGGCACCTGGCTGGCTCAGTCGGTTAAGTGTCAGATTCTGGATTTCAGCTCAGGTCATGGTCTCCTGGCTCGTGAGATGGATCCCCATACCTGGCTCTCTGTTAACGGAGCATGGAGATTGCTACTTGGGATTCTCTCTCTCCCTCGCTCTCTCTGTACCTCCCCTACTCGCATTTTCTCTCTCTCTCTCAAAATAAACAAACTTAAACAATATTTAGATGTCAACACAGCTTTGTTACTTTGCTTTTTCTTTTTTAAATGTTTACTTAGTTTGAAAAGAAGGGTGTGTGAGCAGAGGAGGGGCAGAGAGAGGGGGAGAAAGATAATCCCACGCAGGCTCTGCGCTGCCGAGCACAGAGCTCAAAAGGGGGCTCGAACTCCCGAAACGTGAGATGTAGACCTGAGATGAAATCAAGAGTCAGACGCTTAATTGATGGAGCCACTCAGGCACCCCAGCATCTAAATATTCAGTAAGTATCCCATCTAGAAGTATCCTTCCTTGTAGATGGCTTGTCATCACAATCCATTTTGCCCACCAGGGGTCACCAAATTCACATAGTTTCCTTTGACTTTTTTTCCTTAACCGTCAGTGTCTAAATGGCAGGTTAAATCTGGAAAGAATAGCATTTTCATAAAGCGTGCCAGAGCGATTGATCATTGTGGTAGAGGGCAAAGAAAAATAAAACATTTTGAAGCAATTTATTTTGAGAGAGAGAGCCCTAGTGGGGGGGGGGGGGGGGGGGGAGCAAGAGGTGAGAGAGAAAGAAAGAGACAATCTCAAGCAGGTTCCAAGCTCAACTCAGCACAGAGCCAGATGGAAACTCAATTCTATGAACCGTGAGATCATGACCTGAGCCAAAATCAAGAGTCCGACGCTCAACCGACTGAGCCACCCAGAACCCCACATCATCCTCTTAAAAAAAATAAAAATAAAGTCATTAGATCCTACAGAAGGGGCTTTTTATCTCTAACACTGAACATTAGCTTTTCTTACTTCAGGACAAATTTTGGTAAAAGAAATCCAAGGCTGGGACGCGTGCGTGGCTCAGTCGGTTAAGCGTCCGACTTCCGCTCGGGTCATGATCTCACGGTTTGTGAGTTCGAGCCCCGGGTCAGTCTCTGTGCCGACGGCTCAGGGCCTGGAGCCTGCTTCAGATTCTGTGTCTCCCTCTTTCTCTGCCCCTCCCCTGCTCACGCTCTGTCTCTCTCCGTCTCTCAAAAATAAATAAATGTGAAAAAAAAAAAAAAAATCCAAGGCTGTTGCAATCCTCCAGGACATTTGAGAAACCACTAACCGGAGTCATTCCCAAAACCGTGAGGGACGTGGAGCCTCTCCAGGACACGGTGCCATCCCACCAGTTCCCTTCCTGTCCTACATTCCAGTCCAGCCACTCACAGAGATGGAAGCAAACCAGTGGGAGAGCGGAGGGGTTGGAAGTGTTTCCTTGCTGTCGCCTCCGAATTTCTGGATAGAGTACTGTTTGCCCGTGTATTCCTCAGATCACCCACCTTATCCGTGAGCAGCCAGTGTATAAATGTTTCTTTAGGGTTCATGCATGTTCTCTGAAAAGAAATCTTAAGCAGGCATTTTTAGCCCATCTATTTCTGTTAAGGAAGCATCACAAACATCTGGAAAAGGACTGGACCGTAACGGGCCCAGAAAAATGAATTCAGAACTCTGATGTGGGTTCAGAAACTGAGGAATTCAGACGTCTTTACCCACAGCAGTGAAAAAAAAATGCCATGTTTCCACATTTTTATCTACTGTACCAGGATGCCCAGGAAGAAATTGTATTGTGCCCCAGTGTATGCATAGAAAATTGAAACCAGATGTATATGATGCCGCTTTACTCTTGCAATGTACTTGCAAAGTACTCCTTTTTTGTTTTAGTTTATGCTAATTTATCAAAAAAAAAAAAAGGCCAGTTGTGATCTGCTAATTTGATTTTATGATCCATTAATGGGCTCTCAAGGGTCGGGGAAAGTAAGAGATAAATTGTAGTTATGTTTGTCTGGAGGCAGAGTGGAGATGTTCATTGGGGTTTCCTTCGTCAAGCTGAAGGAAGTGGCCCTTTGGAAGCCAAGACTTGGGTTCTGTCCCTTAGTGCCAGAATTTCACTGTCGTACTGAGATGGCTTCTTATCCTGTCTGTCAGTTAGCTTCTCCGTTGTTACGTGGTTGGGAAAATGCTTTCTTTTGTTAGTGGTATTTTCTGAGGAAGCTAAGAGATATATATATAGGAGAGTAAAAATGAGGGATGGTCATGGAGGAGGTTTTGGGAAAGGTATTTCAGTTGACAAACAAAAGAAGTTTTTTGAGAGGATATTAGGATTTTGGAAACGGGTGAATTAGACCCTATTTCCTATAAATTGGCAATATGTCTCTCTCTTATATTACAGATTCTTTAACTGGGACCATTAATCCGTATTATACCGATAAGAACCCCAGCAGATGGGGCAGGCACCTGGCTGGTTCAGTCAGAAGAGCATGTGACTCTTGATCTCGGGGTCATGAGTTCGAGCCCCACATTGGGGGTCGGGATTACTTAAATAAATACTAAAACAAAACAAAACAAAACAATAACCAAAACACAAAAAATACACGCAGAGCCCGGATCCATGGGTTTACGTACCTCCTCGTTGACCATTGGCTCCTAGTGGTGTCCAGTCTGTGGCAAAGGAAAGAGAAAAGGGATAAATGACTCTAGCTCTACACCCCATAAAGCTTTTATAAGATGAACCAGAAAATGACGGGAAAATCGTTTACTTGATTTTTCTGCATTGGATTTCTGTATAGTGCCATACAAAATCAAGGGTGCCGGGCCGGCTCAGTCAGTAGAGCATGCGACCCTTGATCTCAAGGTCGTGAGTTTAAGCCCCACGTTAGGCGTGGAGCCTATTTAACACAAAAATGAAAAATTTCAAAATTACTCAGACCGTTAGTGCTGGCAGGGAAACACTCAAAGAAAAACAAGTTCCTGGGAACAAAGCCCTGCTTTGCCAAGCCCTGGCTTGGGGGTGCCTTCTTGCCCTCAATCCCCCGCAGGAGTGGGGTCCTATTGGGCAGACGGGGCCAGCAGCCTTTCTAATGTGCCCTGTTCTATCACAACCTCCATGGTACGAGCTACATTACTGAACAACCTCAAAAGTGATTTTCTCACAGTCTGTATCTGGCAGAATGAGAAAATAAAATAGAGTAGGATTTCGTCAACGTCCGAGGGTTCGCTTTCCGTGGCCCCTCTTCTAGCTCAGTGACTTTACTTGAGTGTGTGGTTAGGCACGTGTTTCTTTGTGTGCGTGTGGATATGTTTGTGTGTTGCAGGAGCCAGTGTTGGTTAAGTGGGAGTGTATATATTCCCACGGGTTCCCTTTATGGATTGAATTTGGTCCAGTTTCTTACTAGCTGTCTCTGTATGTTTGTGCACGCAATTGTGTGCCCATTTCTTTTTTCTTTGGTGTTTGTTTGCTTGTACGTTTATGTGTGCGACCCTCTTATGGTTAGTATGGGTCCGAGGTCATCTCTGATCTCCTCCTAGCCCTTTCTTCTCAGACATAAATCTGTTCCTCTCTTTCTTTTTAAAATTTTTTAAGCTTATTTTTTTATTTTTGAGAGAGAGAGAGAGAGAGAAAGCATGAGTGGGGGAGAGGCAGAGAGACAGGGAGAGAGAGGGAATCCCAAGCAGGTCCCACACTGTCAGCGCAGAGCCCGACATGGAGCCCGAACCCACGAACCACAAGATCATGACCCCGAGCCAAAGTCAGACGCTCAACCGACTGAGCCACTCGGGCACCCCTGTTCATTTCTCTAATGGCTATTCTAGAACTCAGTAGCCGGTGCTCCTGCTGTGGTTCCTCTTCAACTTCCCCTCCATCCTGCCCTCCAGCCTACACCTCCACACTCACATATAGCTGAGGAGCTGGCATTGTAGGGAGGAAAGAACAAAGGTAGGGACTCACCAGAGGGGATGATGAACGCAGTGAGACACAGAAGCACCTTGGGTCCCAAGAGCAGCATATCTGACGGGGGTGTTGGGAGAGTAGAGGTTGTAATGCTCAGGGACACAACAGCATTTTGATTTCAGGCAGGGGTACCTGCAGGGCCCCTCTCCTTGTCTTCCCAGGGTTTTTCCTGGTCCCCCATGTGACTCAAGCCCTTTCTCTCTTTTCGTTCACCCAGCATTCTTTTCCCAATTCTATTCTGTGATCACTTACCATTATTCTAACTCGCATTACTTTTTTCTGCCCAGTCAGAGGAAACTTTGTGTTCTAAATGGTCTGTGCTTGCCCCTACTCTTGGCCTCCTTCATCCCCCAGTGTCTAATTTTCCCTTTTGATATCTGTGGCTATTTTAATATCATCTGCTTAACTTGGTGTCTCCTGTTGAATTCCACGGATAATTGGGATATCCGCTCAATTCTAAGGCAGTGGCATTTCCCATTGCCCCCCCTCCGGCCTTTCAATTTCAACTTCACCCACGCACAAACACACACACACGCGCGCACACACTCCCTCTGTCTGTTTAGGGTAATATACAATCAAACAACTCACTGTGTACTTTTTCTCTGCTCTTTCCACCGAGTCCTTTGGCTGCTGAACGTGTCTCTCCTTCTCTCGCTGTTTCTACTTTGGCTGGAGAATAAGATGAACAGGGCCACTCCCTGGGAAGGACTTCAAATTTGGCCTACTCTGAAACAATGAGATGAGGGAAAGTGAGGGAGAGAGAGAGAGAGAGAGAGAGACACAGAGAGGGAGAAAGCCAGGCTAGAGGAGTGTGATGGGGCTGGACTGAGAAGGGGCTGGGATTCGCAGTCACTCACACCCTCATTCCAAATGTTATGACCACACCAGTGAGTGATATGCCGTTCCCTAGGAGGCCTGGCTCCCGCTCATGTGCCTTTCTTCCATGAGTTTCTTTTCCCTCTTGCAACCTGGCCCCAGGCCCCAGCCTCCACCCACCTCCTTTTCCTTGGGCTCCTTACCTAAGTAGCTCCGTCTCATCGTTGCACAGTCTGCCCTTTCTCTGGCCATCTTCTGTGTTTGAATCATTCTGCCATCCTCCCCTCTCACTTTCTTTACTGACATTTACCTCTTCAACGCCACCAAATTCCTTTATATCCCTGTGTTTCTCTTGTTTCTTTGCCTCTTTCTTGACACATGCATTCCAGAATGTGGTTCTGCCCCTCCTGCCCCTCCCTTCCCATCCTATTTATTCCATTTTCAAACAAACACAGACACTACATAAGCTTTGCCCAGGAGGAGGGTTGGCTGCTTTAGGCTTAGGAAAAGTTGAAAAATACACTACTCTCTGAATCCTTTTGAAATGTAAGGGAGTTCTGTGAGAGGACACGCCAACCTTCTTCTGTCTTTTGTCTTTGTTTAAGCTTATGCTAAGCATCTTGGTTTCTGGAATCTTAAGGACAACATTGCTATCCGAAGCCCAAAGGAAATTGGGAGCCAGTTTCATTCTGCTGGCCTTATTCTCCAACCATACTTTTCCCCACATCGTGTAACATATAGATAACTTTCTCAGATCCAGGAGCTTTTAAGACTTTGTATTTGCTCTTATTCATAGAAACCTAGAGGTTTTGACTGGTTAAAAAAAAAAGATATATCTCCACTTTGGAGGGAACAAACTTGAATTACAGAAACTCAAATCTGAGGGATCATTGACCTTGTACGCATTTAAGTGTCTAAGTTTCAAGTTAATCTGTTGGCTCGTCAGGAGATAAACAATGTAGACCAAAGGAGCTAAATTAGAGGAGAGTACAGGTAGACAGAGAGTGTTAATAGAATACAGACTAGAAAAAGAAAAAATAAGGGAGGGGGAAAGGAGCGGAGGAGGGAAGAGGGGAGGAAGGAAACTAGTTATTTGGGAGGAAGGGAGAGCATTGGATTTAAGCAGAACTAAGGAAATAGCACCTTCAGCTCCTCCAAAGGGGCTCTACGTGTTCCATCTCTGAGACACATGGGTTCTGGTCACAGTTTAGAACAAATCTGAGCATAAAACCCTGCTCTTCCTGACCTGCCTTACTGAGAACTTGCCCTTCGCCCATGTGCTGTGCAGTGAGAGTGCAGAGGCTGGAAAACAGATGTGATTCCGGTCTGGTGAGAGTCGGCAAAGAAAAGGCAGGGAGGTGGGGGTGGGGATCGAAACACAAAAAAGCAGAGGCAAAGCAGAGCTGAGGCAGGACATATAATAGAGAGCTTAGAGCAACAATCATGTTTTCCATGAAGCTCAGACAGATGGACAAACTGAACTCAGCCCAGTCATTTGGCAGGGAGAGCAATGACCTCAATGTGCTGGCCCAGCTCGAGACCATAGCAGAGAAGAGCCTCCCCAGGCAGCGGGAGGGGGTGCTCTCCCGGGGTCGTAGGAGGGAGTCTGAAGTTAGGGCAGCGACGGTGGAACAGAATGTCCGGAGTAAGGCAGAGGGAGAAGGCAGGCAGGGAGCAGCAGCCTAGAAGGAAGGGAGAGGAAGCATGGGCTCACTGGTGTAAGAGCCACCATTTCTTCGTGCTGGGCTTCCTAGGCTTCCAGGAACGCAGTTTGTCTTGAAGTGGTCTGCTTAATTTTCTCTTCCTTGCGGTTATGGTGGCCCTTTCCTTCCAGCATTGTTCCCCATTTGGTGTCAGAGCCCAGGTAGGGAGAGAACCTCAGATTTGCTTTTCCCGAGGTGATTTGGTCAGCTTCCGTTGTATTACACTATCGGTTTATCGTCAAATTGCATGTTTCCACAAGTAGTAACACCAACGGGTCAGAAATGAACAACTGCCAACCAGAGCCGTGAGCCTCTGGTTTTCTGAGGTTCCCACTGACCCCGGGGGAAGAACTCCCTGGGCAGCAGTCCACGATCCCATCCAATGCAAGCTGATCGCCTGTGGCTGGAGCGAACAGGAAAGTCCTCTATGGAATAGCCTGGCAGGTGCAGAGGCCACTTAATACAGGCAAGCTCATGTTTGAGTCACATAGGAAAATTTTCATTTTCGAAAAGGGTCTCCAGTCAATGGCAGATGGGGGAAGTACAAAGGAAGAGAAGGGAGGCAGACAAGCGAGACGGCGCACCGGCTCTATTCATCTGTTTATTGGCCTGTAAAGAATACACCCATTAGCCGAAGGCCTCTGGGCAAATGTACAGAAAAGTTATTACTACAGTCCAATCCAACTAAATTAAATCCAGGGCCTAAACGCAAAAAAAGAAAAAAAAAAAAAAAAAAAAAAAAAAAAAAAAGCCAAAACGAAATCCCATAAAAGGAAAGCAAGAAGGGAGGAGGGTTATACGAGGTGGGGAGGGAGGAAAGGCAGAGAGCAATGTGTGTGGAGGAATGAAGCAATAAACTAGTAACAGCCCAACTTAAACGATGGACTCAGTGCAGGAGTTAGAAGCTAGGAAACGTGCATCCTCAGACAACTTCCCACTCATTAATAACCCATACTTGCTGTAACACCTCATGCCTCTGCGCTTTGCACCTTCTGTTCCTTCCTTTATGAAATATCCTTTCCCAATGCCAGTCAGTAAATGCTCATGTGTACATCAAAGCCCAGGTTAGACTCTGCCTCTTCCCAGAAACGTTTTCTGGTCTCCTCTTCTTCTGAAGAAAATTTTTTTTTTTTTT